GCAGAGAATTTCCCCACTCTTAAGAGAGAAAATCTTGCCTGCTTAACAGAAACATTTGGAACCCCAATAGACCTGATCCAAGAAGTAACGCTTCGAGAAATATCATAGTAAAAATATCAGACATGAATAGCCAGAAACTGATTTTAATTGGCGCAAAATTAAAGAAGGAATTATATCACAATGGAAAGAAAATTAAAATCACTGCAGACCTCTCCACACAAATCCTCAGTGTGAGGAGAGCCTAGAATGGTATAATCTAAGCACTGAAGATTAACAACTTCCAACCCCAACTAATCTACACAGCAAACTATCATTTACATTAGTTGGTGAAACCAAAACCTTCCATGACAAACATTATAGGAATTCATGATCACTAAACCAGCGTTACAAAGAATTCTAAAGGGAGGAATACAACCAAATTCAAAAAAACAGCAGACAAAGATCACTAGAATATCAATTTTGTAAACAGGAAGAGGGAAAAAATACACAAATCAAGAAAATGGCAGGAAACATATAATAACTCTAAATATGAATAATCCAATAAAAAGAAGAAGAGCAGGTTAGATCAAAAATAAAATCCATCCATTGTTTGCATTCTGCTTTGGGTTACTTTTGAAGTGACTAAAGTTTCCACTAACTATGACATATTATAATATATTACCAGTATGTTACATTTACTGAATAAATAAAAGACACTAATCTCTGATCTTTTATCTCTGATCTTAGATAAAAAAATTCATATATAGGGGCAGGAAATGTGGCTTAGTGGTAGAGTGCTTGCCTAGAATGCATAAAGCATGGGGTTCGATTCTTCAGTACCATATAAGCCAAAAAGCCGGAAGTGGTGCTCAAGTGGTAAAATGCCAGCCTTGAGCAGGGACAGTGCCCAGGCACTGAGTTCAACCCCCCCTCCCCAACCATGACTGGCAAAAAATAATTCAGAAACAGATATTTGCACAAAATAACAAATCTTTAAATATAAAGAAGTGTCCACAATATCAAAAAGGCCATGAAGCTGACATATAATAGAAAATAGCGAGGAGGAGGAGGAGGAAGGAGGAGGGGGGAGTAGGGAGGAGTAGGGAGGAGGAGGAGGAGGAGGAGGAGGAGGAGGAGGAAGCAACAACAGCACAATCCCAAGCACTAGGTCTTTCTTTCTTCTACCACCCCTCAAGAAAAAAACAAAACAACAACAACAAAAAAAAAGATTGCAATGGAATTGATACAATGTATTATACTAATAAAATATCCATATTGGAAAAGTAGAAAGAAAACAAAATTAAAAAACATCTTTTTGGTTTTTTTTGGTGCAAGTTCTGGGGCTTGAACTCAGAGCCTGGCTGTTGTCCCTGAGCTTCTTCTTCTCCAGGCTAGTACAGTACCACCTTAGTTACACATCCACTTCAAGGTTTTTGTGGTTAAAGATAAGAGTCTCATGCACTTTCCTGGCAGGGATGTCTGAACTGTGATCCTCAACCTCCTGAGTAGCTAAGATTATAGGCTTGAGCCACCAGCACCCAGTTTAAAAAACATTTCATTTTTTTGTTGGTTGTGGGGCTTGAACTCAGGGCTGGTGTGCTGTCTCTGAACTCTCTTTGCTCAAGTAATGGTTTTCTAGAGGTTAATTGAAGATAAGAGTCTCACAGACTTTTCTGCCTGGTTTGGCTTTGAACCATGATCCTCAGATCTCACCTTCCTGAGTACCTGGGATTACAGGCATAAACCACCAGCTCCCAGCTTAAAAACAATGTTTTAATCAGATATCATGCTTCCCTGTGTTCATATTCTGAAAAAATAAAAAAAATTCCTGAAACCCATCAGCAGTTATAACAAAATAGCAACATACAAGGCCATTATGCATAATATCAACTGATTTCTAGTACATCACCATACAGTAATGGGAATCTGAAGCAGAAAAAAATATCTATTTCTATTATCACTTAAAAGATTATGTATATATGACACATATGATATGCTATATATAATGCATATTATATAAGATATAGTCTATTATATATTAGAGGTATATATTCAAATATTATATAATACATACAATATAATATATAAAACCATAACATAAGATATATTTTATAAAAAATAAGTAATATAAAATTAAGTATTAGTATATACTATATATAAAATGCCATATATAATACAGCATGTATTATGTGTATCATATTATACTATAATTTGTTACACAATAATTTATACATAGTTATATTAATATAGTTTATATTCATAATTTATATTTGTTGATCATATTAATATTAATACTAATTGATATTTGTATCTTGATATATTTTATTTATTTATTTATTTGTCGATCATGGGGCCTGAACTCTGGGCCTGGGTGCTGTCCCTCAGCTCTTCAGCTCAAGGCTAGTGCTCTATCACTTGAACCACAGCACCACTTCTGGCTTTTTCTGCTTATGTGGTGCTGAGGAATAGAATTCAGGGCCTCATGCATGCAAGGCAAGTGCTTTACCACTGAGCCACCTTCCTAGCCCTCTTGATATATTTTAAGTATATAATAAATATCATGATCTTATATTTCACATTACATATGTACATGAATACATATCTATATAAAGCAAAATCTGTACATAAAACAGAATTGAATTCAGTCATAGATTGCTTAACTGGTGGGTTGCTCAGTTCTTCTATCACTATGTCAACATTTCCCATAGAAATAACTGAAGTGAAGAACGATTTATTTTGGCTCATAATTTCAGACTTTTAGAGCCATCATGATGGTGAAGGTATGTTAGACAGCCAACATCACGGCATCAGCGAAGTGGAAAGAAAGGGTGCCTATGCTCACAGGCTCTCCTGATTTTTGACAATTATTCCATCTGTGACCAAGTCTATGGGGTGGTGTTGCCCACAGTCAAGGTGTGTCTCCCATCTTACATAATTTTCTCTGAAACACCTTCACAGACACAGTAAAATTTCAGCTTTACTAATGTCCCATGTATTTCTCAATCCATGTAAATTGACAATTCAAGTACATTCAGCATTACAAAACCTCCCTTGTCAACCTGACAAAGAAAATATTCCCTAAATATCCCCCACTGCATGCCTAGCCATTAATAAGGTCATGTCCATCATATAAGATAAAATACATTCAGTCCACCTCTAAAAGTCCTAATAGTTTTAATAATTTAAATATGATTCAAAGGTCAAGTTTAAAGTCTTCTCTGTCACTCAAAGCAAACGTTTAGCTATGAGTCAATTTAAAATTGGGTCAATTTCACTACTGCTAAAGGCTGTCTTCCTATATTTTAGAGGGAAAGCCATGTGCTAATGTCTTTTATTATGAGGGCACTAATACCATATTCAGGGTTCCATGCTCACGACCTAACTAACTTCCCAAGTCCCCATCTTCAATCCAAACATTTGGTTTTCAACACCTAAATTCTTTCAACACTTAATTTTTGGGGGGCTTGGGGGGACAAAAGTTAGTCCACGGAAGGGACTAATTTTGTTACAACTGATAAACCAGTAATGATATACTATTATCTAAAACTCCATAATTTGTATTTGGTTTCACTGTTTGTGCAGATGCAATAGGTTTGACAAGTATATGATAACATGTAGCCACCATTGCAGTATCAACCAGAGTGGATTTGGTACCCTATAAATCCTCTGTTGATGTCTCTCTCCACTGTCCTGAACTTCTGGCAGTCATTTTTGTTACTATCTCCATTGTGTTGCCTTTTTCAAAATGCCACAGAATTGAAATCATACAGTATGTTGACCAACATCACTGGACTTTGCTAAGACCCTTGTAAATGGTGACTCTTCTGTGTATCCTCATGGCAGAAGAGAAAGAGTAAGTTCTTAGGGTTCTTATAATAATACTAACGTCATTCAAGAGGGTTCCACATTCAGGCTCTAATTAGCTCCCAAAGTTCCCACCTTCTTGTATCATTGGATTTCCAACTAGAATTTCACCATATGAATCTTAGGAGCTCAATCATTTAGTATATAAGACAACTAGAGCAAAGATAGCTCACATTAATGTAAGAGGTTAAACATAGGGGAAACTGAGTCGATGAGGGAGTATCTGGGTACTAGCTGAACTTCTCAACTGTTCTATAAACCTGAAAGTGATGCAGAAATTACAATCTATTTTTAATGATAAAGATGAGCAAATACAAATGGAACGAAAAATTTCAATGTAATGCTCACTGAAGGATGACAGGATGCAATTTTTTAAAACAATATTCTTACATAATCCCAAATACACATTTATATATACTGTGTAAATCAATTGCTTAATCTTCTGGACTTACAGAGATAAGCAATAAAAAGCTACAAACCACACTTCAAGGTTCTTGTCAATTGTATATGGCATGAATCAGAGCAATGTATAAAGTGATATGTACTTTGTTCATAAACAGCAGAAGTTGTCTTCTATGGAACTCAAGATAACAGCAACTGATAAAAATAAATAATTCAAGAGAGTGGTGCCATGTTGTCAACCTCATGAGTAGCTATGGTTACAGGCATGAAACACTAGTGCCTGGCATAAAAGAGAATTTAAAAAATAAAATTAAATAATTTTAGAATCTAAAGTTATGTTTTTAAGAGTTTAATCCTGCTATAGGTAGATAATTCTAATTATTCTTAAATTTACCTTTTTCTTAAGTAGTACCTAAAACTGCACTCTTGGATCAACTTCTAGTATTACTATTAATATAAAAATTGTCTGACTCAGATACATGTCTTCATAATGGTGAAAACAAAAGTAAGCAGAAACAAAACAGAAATTGAAGATAAAGTATGAAGAAAAATGGTAAATATTGATATAATCCAAATCTCAATTTTGAGAGTAAACTTGAATTTTTGTATGACTGCATTAGCTATACAAGAATTTAAAGGAGTATTTTCATTATACGATAAAATTTCTAACATTCATCATTGAAACTGAATATTGCATGAGAGAAACTTCTGAAAACCCGACTTACAGTCAAAGGCAAGAACTGAAGGCTTCTTACCTTAGTAGGGTATTTCTTCCGTCACTTCTGGAGCACCAAACTTGCCGGGTTTGATAACCAATCTCTACATCCCAGTGCTGGGAATGGTAGTGTGCTTTGTAGCTCTGATGTTTAAAGGCCACTTCCTCCTTTGAATCCGAACTAAAATCCAAAGCAGTCCTTCCATTGAGGTTCATTTCTTTAAGATGAGGGAGTCTACATTTACTCCATGGTCCAACTTTAAGGCTGAAAGTATGTTCCTCTTCCCCAAGAGGGCAGGAAATGGGCACATCACAAGCTCTTGATTCAGTCAGGTTTGGGCATTGCAAACCTCCATAAAGCGGGGGCGCAATGGCCACCCTAGTTCTGTGCTGCAAGTTCTTCCCACACCCTTGGCTACACTTGGACCAGGGTGAGAACTCCGACACAACACAATCCCGGGGGCAAGGAATGAGGCAGGCTTGTTCTGTGGGGGGCTGAGGAGCAAAGTGTTCACAGATTTCGCTGGCGACCATGGTTCTGTTCAGCTTCTGTAGGCAGCGCACTGTCCGGTGCTGTAGGCCGTGCTGAGCTGTCACACAGTCCACGGCTTTGGGCTTGACTTCACCCTGAGTGTAAGGAACAAGGACACAGCGATGCCAATCAGAAACTTCCCACTGGAAGAGGTCACGGTGCCAGTCACAGACTCGGAAGCAACTTCTTTCCCTTGGAGGCTTGCTTCCCTCATCACAGTGAGACAGAGGGCTTGTCCACCCTTCAACATGAAAACACCATACTGCTCGACTCTGAACTCCTCCAACTCCACAGTCTCCTGAACACCTTCCCCAGGGACCTACAGGTAGAAACACAAGAGTAACAATTACTCAGAGACCTCATTCACCCACCTCCATGGAAACAGAGCTCAAGGAACATAGTTCCCACCATAATTGCCGTCAAATTACAAATTATGGATGGAAGAGAGACAATATAACTTAGTGACTTTGGATTCCACATCAGTTTGCCTTTGCTGAAATCTAATTCTCTCTCTGATCAGCAGCAATGTACACATACAAGCATTATTTGAACTTGCTAAGCTTTATTATCACATATAAGGTAGAAAATAATAAAAGCACGACTTGCAGAGTTGCTGAGGATCAATTGTAAAATGAGGGTGTCAAGGAGCCAATATACTTTAATAAATGATTGGTGTCATTATGATTATTATGTTCCAAAGCCGATATATCCAACTCAATATTAATACTTTCTAGTTAGACAGGATTTCATCTAAAAGAAAAGCCCTAAAGCCAGGATTTTAATAAAGGAGGATTTTTTCCCACATGTTTCCAATCTTTCAGCTCATATTCTAAGAAGCACCAAATAAAAATGTGTGTTAGAGAAAACTTAAAGTATCCCAAATATATTTTCATATTCTAAATAACTGCCCTCAGTTTTTGGTTAGTGCTTTCAACGAATTGTATGAAGAAAATAAAAATCTGAGCCAGAGGGAAAAGTAGACAAGAAGCAGCATTGTACTATCTTCTATGGATATCCTACTGCTAGAATCTGTAAAATGTACTGCTGTAGATTTTTTTGGTTTCTTTGAGGTAAGGTCTTACTATGCTGTCTAGGCTGAGTTTCAGCTACAGGGCTCAAGCCATCCACTTTGCTCTGCCTTAAATGTAATTGGGACTACTTAGCAGATGGATTCTGAAGGGTACTCCAGACAAAGGTACTCCAGACTCCAGACAAAGCTTCCAGGATTGGCTTATCAAAACACAAGATCTTTTCATTTTAATTAGTTTGTATAGGAAAGAGTGCAAAAAGAAAACTCTCCAAAACCCCCAAAATCCAGACACCTCATCTGTTGACATCTCAGCCTCGCTTATCTAGTAGGTGGATCATGAAGCTTTTCACAAAGACAAGTAGTAATCACATTTTATAGCAATGAAAATAAATTAGTTCTCCCCTTTCATTTTACTTTAATGTATAATACAAACATGAAAAAAAGTTTTATAAGGTTAACTAGGTAACCCCTGCCACAAAATCAGATCTTTGATGGTTATTAATTCACTTCACTCACTGAACAGCATATTCACACAGGTGAGATAGAAGGTACATTTTCTCTCTTTCCTCAAATCTTAGCCCCCTCTCCAAATGCCAGCTTGTAGAAATTATTTTCACTTTGCATCCATTACATTTGAAAGAATGTACACAACTCATAAGCTCTGGAGAGAACACTCTGTGTCTCCAGAGGGAAAAATCTGTCGGCATCTGAGACTACATGCTACAATGAGTATTTCTCATGTTATCAGGGAAATAGTAGCTGCTCATTCTAATGTATGTTGTCACCCAGTTGTTCCTCAGACTTTGCTTCTGCTCAATTAAACTTAACATTCTTACTAATATAGTGTTGGTCCGACAATGGCTTCCTTAAATTTCTAAAAGAGATCAACATAGAAAATATGTTCTCCTTCTTTTAGTGCCCATACACTAAAGACATCCCTTGCTAAAACCAAAAGGCCAAGTTTTGTTGGAATCATTCAGCTTGTACTCAACAAAATTTGCCTGTTTCCTTCCCTTAAAGTGTTTTCTGCATTGATTGCTCATGGATACAGTGGATCCAGATGGAGAATGATGTTCTCAACATTAGATGATTCTATCAGTGATTCTCCATTTTGGTGTTGTATTTTTTCACAGATTACCTACAGTGGAAACATTACAACTTTAGATTCTGTTTGTTACTTAAAAGTAATCTGATGCCAGGAACCACACCTGTAATCCTAGCTACTCAGGAGGCTGAGATCTGAGGATCCCATTTCAAAGCCAGCCAGGGCAAGAAAGTCCATGACACTCTTATCTCCAATAAACCACTCAAAAAATTGGAAGTGGCACAGTGATTCAAATGTAGAGCGCTAACCTTGACCTGAAGAGCTGGGGGACAGCGTTCAGGCCCAGATTCAAACCTCATGACCCACAAAAAACAAAAACAAAAAAACAGCAATCAGCTGGCTCTGCAGTCCCATGGTGTCAGACTATACTTGGAACTGTTTGTCATTAAAGAACACTCAGCCAGAAACCAGTGGCTCACACCTATAATCCTAGCTACTCAGGAGTCTGAGATCTGAGGATAATGATTTCAAAACAGCCTAGCCAGGAAAGTTTGTGAGATTCTTTTTTTTTTAAAGTTTTTTATTGTGAAAATACTGTACAGAGGGGTTACAGTTACATGAGCAAAGTAATGAGTACATTTCTTATCAAGCATTGTTGCCTCCTCCTTTGTTGTTCCCCTACCATCCCTTTCCTCCCATCTCCACAACTGCATCCCCCCTCCTTAAATTGTAAAGTTTGTTTTTCGACATAGTGTTTTGTATATCTCATCACTACAATGGGTCCACCTGTATCCCTATTTAAACTATTTGTTTTTTCCCTTCCCCTCCCCAAATTATACCAACATAAAATACAGTGAAAACAAGGGTTATACCATGGGAGAGGGACATACAAAGCAACAAAAATATCACATGGTACCTTATAAATGTATTAGAAACAATAGCAAGGAAGAAAACCCATTTGTGTCCCTTATCTTGGGGTTCTGAGACTCATCTCAATTTAACAATCAAAAAAAAAAAACAAAACAAAACCAGAAATGGAGCTGTGGCTCAAGTGATAGAGCACTATCCTTGAGCAAAAGCCTCAGGGAGAGTGCCCAAGCCCTCAGTTCAAGTCTGATGACGGCACACACACAAACAAACATAAAAAGAGAAAAGCAGACTCAGTTATTCAAAAGGAATATTTCAGAAACACATTATTGCACCAAGCTTCAAATTTTAAAATTAACCATAAAAGATAGAATTGGATAAAATTTAACAAACTTTTCTGTAAGGCACTGTGCAATTTGAAATAATGGCTGTCAGTGTTTTTGCTCAGGTATAGATAATTCCTACTCAGAATTTTTGTGCTGGAATAAAGAAAGATCAGAAAATATAAGCTATTTCTAATCAATCTTGAACCAGTTAATATTCAATTAAATTCAATTAGAACATCCTTTCAAGTGGCTCTTGTTCTTCCTTTTAAAGCTTTTGACTAAGCCTTTTTCTTACAAGTATACTTGTTTTCTTTTTTTAAGTTCTCTAGTTGCTTTCAAAATTAAGATAGCTCTTTTTGTTATTTGAGATGATTAAAGTTTTAAACTTAATAAATGACTATTCTTCATTTACTTTCCATAGCCTCTATTTATGCAAAAATTTTAACAAAGAACAATGTTATCCTAGCTCAAGGGAAGACAAAATACAAAATGAGGGAAGAGGTAACAATGTTCAGCAAGAAATGTACTCATTACCATACATACGTAACTGTATTCTCTCTGTACATCACCATAATAATAAATTTTAAAAAATAATCTAAAATGGTTAGCACCACAGATCAATTTCTTAGCATAGTAATGATCTCTTATTTGTTGGTTAATATTCCATTGGATATGAGTGGAATGATAATGAACACTAGACATGAGCAATATTTGGAACAATTTCTCTGTTCAGTTCCTGGAGGTTTAGGACAGCAGTTCCCATTTGGCCAGGTATGTAATGTGTATAAAGATTAGATAATGATACTTTTAAGAAGGCAGAATCAAGTAATCCTCATGCTAAAGCAAATTGTGAGGACAGCTAAAAACATGTAAATAACAAGCAAAAAATGAATATTGTATACTTAAAATAAATCAAGAACAAATTGCAAGTAAGACACATGAGATGGAGACAGGACCTATTAGCAATTGACCTATAATGATTTGCAATTCCCAGGCACGGAGTGAAAATATGTTCTGGGGTTTATTCAGTTTTATTTGGCAATGGACTTTTAATACATAAAAGCGTGAAACTCACACAGCCTTGAGGGGTTTTGCCACTTCAAAATACATGTATATTGACGTAAAATGTGATCTGCAGTTTGAGAAATTTGATATCATTTGTCCAAGCTCAGAAAAAACAGAAAAGATTAAACAGTTGAGCAATTGCTTGGAGAAAAAGGAATATCACATTAAAAAGTCATGTTCATGCTCGTGCTGGTAGTTCACACCTATATCCTACAGTTACTGAGGAAATTGAGATCTGAGGATTACAGTTCAAAACCAGCCTGGGCAGGACTGTCCATGAGACTCTTATCTCCAATTAACCACCAGGAAACTGGAAGTGGTGCTGTGGCTAAAGTGGTAGAGCAGCTCACCTTGAACTGAAGAGCTCAGGGCCTAGGCTCAGAGTTCAAGCCCCACAACCAGAAAAAAAAAGGCCTCTTCAAGTTATATATCAAACTAGTCTAAACAAACATACAAAAATCACTCATTTAAGCATAATTTCAGTCATTTTTATATTTCATAATTGGAAAATAAGTATCAATTATTAAAAAAACAAGCCAGGCACTAATGGCTCAGGCTTGTAATCCTGGCTACTAAGGAGTTAGGATCCATGTCTAGATTTCAAATTAGCTTGGACAGAAAAGTAAATGAAAGTAAAGTTTGTAAAAATCCTCCAAAATAATCACTTCAGAGACAGAAAGTATAGTATAATAGATTCTTGATATTAGACTCTTGTCTGACATATATCTTGCAAAATCTCCTCTTATTTTGGAGTCTTTCTTTTGAGCTTGTTATCTGTGTCCTTTGCTATTCAGAAACATTTAAGCTTCATGTAATATCATTTATCAAGTCTTTCTTTGATTTGTTGGGCTTCTGGATCTCTGGAAACAGGTACTCAAAAGGTTTGAGGTGGGGTCAAGGAAAAAAGGATGACAAATGAAGAGGAGATGAAGGGAAGAATGTAGTTAAGATTCCAACATATGTCAAACAAAATTAACAAGAGTGAG